AGGTTAAGTTTGTTCCCCTCGCCAGTACATTGATCATATTTGATGGAGCAGAGTCTTGTGAAGTGAAAGGTGTTGGACATGTATTTGACTGGGATACACAGAGCAAACACATGAGGAGCTGCTGCCAGAGATGAAAACCCTGTCTGATTCTGTGTTATCTTTGTGCCGTCTTTGGAGAGTGCGCTGGAAAGGTGAGGTCTCGAGCAATAGAAGAAGTTATTTGTTGGAGACTCAAAGGAAAAGCCCTACAGAAACCTCTAGGAGAAAAAGAGTAGAGGATGGAAATCTGGTGGAAAGACACGTGTTTAATAAATGTATTTTCAACTCATAGTGCATTCAAGGGCCTATTTAGATTGACTAATGTGTTTGATCATTTGAAGATGGTTGTTTTAATGTGATTCTTTATATATAATACTAATAATTGTATGGTGGAAATGAAACAGAATATACTAGTATGCTTTTATCAAAACAGTTAAACCAACACTAAGCTCTTGACATGACTGTGATTTAAAGTGTGATACATTGCTACAAAAAACATCATGATAAACAGCCCTTAAAGCAGAAGAATCAATTTCTTGGAATGAAAACTATTGTTAAAAACATGAACTGCAAAAAATAAATAGCAAAATGAAACAAAAGTGAGTTAGTATCTGAAAATAAGTCTTGTGATGTTACTTATATACTTGATAGTGCAATTGGTGCAATTCACAAAGAAAAGTAAAGAAGACCTGAAAAAGTATTGTTCTGTCTATCAGTTAATGAACAAATGTTGATATGTTAATTAGAGTGAGCGACATGGAATATAATTTTATATGTAAAATTTCAAACTGTGCTTGTAGGAATAAAGAATAACTTTATTCCCATATTAATTTTCATGTAATACTTAGTGAAAAGTTCATTTCACTGAGATGATCTTTCAAAGCTGTGTAGCAATCACACCATTCTTCTTCATCAGTAAATATTTCAAACAATCCATGTATCATTTTCCTTGCAGTAAACCAGTGTTGGAGTGTTTGCCAAGAAGCCCATTACTTTCACTTACTCCTGTAGGTGTAATGGTGTGAGCCTTTGTAATGTGATGCTGAGACTAAAACCCCATTTACAGCGGCCACTCCTCCAGCCTGTTACTGATTTATTGTTCAGAAGTTAGACCTTCTAATAGACACTAAGCACTGCTGTCAGACCCAGCTCTGCCAGTTCACACCCATTTAGACCATTTTAAAATCCATGTTTAAATATGCCACTTCTAAAGGGCTAACCACCTTCTGCGTTTTACCGGGACATTTTTCATTGGCAGACATTTTGACAAGCCATAGCGAGGAACGCACAAGTGTAATCTAATAGCATTAATGATGGCCTCAATTCATTTCAATGTGTCATTACCAGTCCTCTGCAATTTAACATTGAGCTTCAAAGGCACGACTTAAAGATATATTTTATGGCTCACAGCTGCCATTAATGTTATTAGTAACCCTTGTCTTTTCCTGCTCAGACGTGTTCACATATCTGTTATATAATGCAATCCAACCTTCTTCTATACAATCAACAATTAAGATTTGTTATTTGCTTATTTAATTCCAACTTGAGTTTCTGGAGGTCTGCTGCTTTGGGCCTATGATAGATCATCTTGTATCAGCGATAACGATTCACTATTCTTTGTTTTACATTGTAATTTGTCATACAACAAAGTACCTCCTGAAGGAAAGGTTGTCTGTTATCACATCTTGAGACTGGCAAAGATAAGAGCTGCATAATATATCACAATCAAATTGAAATTGTGATTTGAGTTTTCACAATCATAGAAACACAAAGGCTGCAGTGTTTTCAATAGTAAAATGTCATCTGTAAACAACAAAATATCCTGACTTTTTATACAAAATTCACATGTCTCAGTATCGGATAATATTTCAGTCTTCCTTCAAAAGTTAACACTCCTGGAGTTGTTTACAATGTGCAACAGAATCCTACATTTTAAATATATATTGAAAGTCTAATCAGGAATTTGTCATGAGAGTTCTATTATAAGTGATTAATTAAGTTACTCGTAAAACTGTGTTAATAATTTGATGAGAATACACTGTAGAAGTATATTCCTAGTACCTTTACAATTTCCTAAACATGATCTAATATGTTAGGTAAATCAGTCTTATTATTAGTGGAGATGAATCACACTTGTGTTTGCAGTGAGATGGTGACGTAGTTTGACACTCTGCTTAACAACAACCGTTTGCGTGTATGCCGAATGTAGGACTTCGTGCACATATTTGTGAGTGCTGCTCAAAATATGTCACTTTGAGAGTGGCTCTGCTGGCAACACTCTGATGACTCAGCCCATTCAGCGCATTAATCCTGTTTCTTCTACAACTCTACATCATGCTTTCACTTCATGTACATTACAGGCCACTAGAATAATATATGAAAGCAGCTGCCATACACTGAACATTTTGTCCTGAATGTTAACAACAATATGACAGCACAACTGTCAGGAAGTCAAGACCGCACCAGCCACTCTTTTGGCTTTAGTATACCTCTCCTATTACCTCTAAAACTGTTAGGAAGCATTCACATAAAATGAACATAATATATCATGCAGAAATACCACTATGACGGTAGCTAAAACAAATAACTTAAATTGAACTAATTTAAATTAAGAGTTGTGCAAAGCTTTATTATCTGTAAATAAAATAATGTTTAAATTCCCATGCAATGTATAATAGTGTTTAACTAATGATCCTCCTTGCTTGCATATATCGTACCTAGTTCAAATATAGGATAGGATTCCTGTATTTGCAGTAGCCTTTTATTAGGCATATCTAACTAGCCAGTTAAAGGAAAGTATTTGGTCACATAACATTAACAAGACATAACACGGCTGGTGTGACTGCACCACATTGAGCTAAGGCAGGGCTGAGAGAGGGAGCTCTCTGCCTGTGTAAACACTGAGTGAATAGTCATAATTAAACTCGGGGTTATTGCCTCTGAGCAGCCATTGGCTTTGTGCCATTCTGACCTTAACAGGTGAATAGAGGCTGATTTCATTTAATATCTGAATGGCATTGCATCAGTGAAGATTCTTTTTCAAACACATTTATTGAGTAATTACCTGTCCTCTAGATAATTAGATTTAATGGCACAACCCATGTAGTAAACATGAAACATTTATTGATGTATTCTAGCATCTTAAACACACCTTTGAGCATAAAACCATTATTATATGAATGTCTTTTGTAATAAATAATTTAATCTGGTAATTCATTAATTAATTTATACATACAATGCAATTATGTGAGTCGGGAGAGACATCTGGTGAAACAAACCTTTTGCTGAAGAGTAAGGTCACAGTGGATCAAAAGGTAACAGAAAATAACTACTGAATACTTACTATCACTTTTAAACAATTGAGAGGAACCCAAATGGTATTTTTAGATCTTCTATTAGGAACTGCAGAGGAGACCTGTAAGCTCAGAAGCTCTTTTTATCATTGTGTTCAGCATGTGTTAAGGACTATTGCTACTCACAGTCTAGCCTCTCAGTGTTTCAGTTAAAAAACTGTACAGAATCTACATCTAATGAGAGACTGCTAAAACCAAATGAGCAGTCAATAAAAAGCATTTAAAAATAATAGGCTTTCTTACGACTGACAATATTTGTGGGAATCTCTAATCTGGAGTCAGACAGGTGTGATTTGTGAAGTGCAATAAAATAGAAATTGTTATCATGCTCAGTGTACTGCTGGTACATGGCTCAGGGTGAGAAAGTTCTCACTTTATTCTGTGTCTGATCTGATGTGTCAGACATCAGCAGACACAGATCTGATCATATTATTCTGGAATTATGTCTTAAACTTCATAAATGTGACTATCCCAGTCTCCAGCCTTGGCAGCATGCTAATAAGCACAAACATGCCGGATCATAAGGATATCTAATATTCACTGTGTTGCCAGTGATTAGTTTAATGTAAGTTACTTTAACATTTACAATATATTTTTTCATGCACATCACATAGCTCACCTTGTAAAGAGTTCACACAAGCACTGAAGCCAACAAAGGAATTAGTCTAATGCTCCATAGAAGCAGCTGAAGAGCAAATCTATAGCAGACAGAAATATTGCTGCAGGAGTGCACCGTGAGCATTTCTGGGAAATGACTCCAGAAGCCCACATGTAATGGACTATGTATCTTACTCTGTTACATATGCGTAAGCAGGAAACCTCTGCAGCACTGCCTCAAAGGGCTCCACCATCTTTAACAAATGACGAATAAAATCCAGTCTTTCTCCCCTATCTCTGTATCTCTCTCTGGACTGAAGCTCACCATCCCTTTGCTTTTCCCTCCAAACCTTATGTGAAGGTTTCACTCGATATACAACTCTTCCACAGACGTGCACAGCCAGATAATGCAAATGTTTCTATAAATAGGGACAACAGTGCTGACAGCAGCACTCTTTCAAGTGAGATATCTGTGTGTAATTTTGCTTCACACTCCACACCACATAAACACTGAGTGGCTGCAGTAAATAGTGGAAGTCTCCTCCAGTGCTGTGTGCCTCATCACAGCTCCATACAAACACTTAAACACAGTGCAAACACCATTCAGATAGATTCTATATGAAGAGCAAACAAGAGAAAACAGATCAATGCAGTGTACACGTCTTAAACAAACACAGGCAGAATAAACAGCTTGGCTCGACATGACACAAAACAGCACTGGTGTGTGTTAGACAGAGCTGCTCATTCTCCACAATACACATCTGACACTCGTACAAGCCCTCAGCTATGTACTACATCTAGCTGTAACATGTAACATAAATTTCACTACTTCCCCCAGCCTTCCTTTAAATCAGTAATGTAATTATTCTCCACACAATATATTCCAGCGCAACACCAATAAAAATATACCATGTGTCAAACCAAGTCTAAACTGAGCGTAAATGGTGACTGGCTCTTCAGTAAGAGTAATGGCATGGAAAACAATTGAGGAAAGAAGTGTGTTTTGCTCACCTTGTAGCTCATGATGGATGACGTCTGAGAGATTGGGCTCCTCTCCCCACCAGAAGATCCACAGCTCCTTGGCATCTGGCTTGATCTTGCGTCTCCACACACACAGCAGGTTGTTCTGGACACAGCGCATGAAGCTCCGCAGAATCGGGTCGTCCTGGGCCGGAGCCGAGATCACAGGCCCATACTCGCCCCCTCCGCGAAAACTGTAGCAGCGCCATTTAATGCCAGTCAACTCCGCCTGCAAGAGAAGAGCACAGCCTGAGACAATGACATTAGGATGTGTTATGTGAAATGTATTTGTTCTTTTTCATTCATTCGCTGTCACACTGTAACTCAACTTGACCTTTTTACTGTGGAAGATTCTGTTTGTTTAAATGTCAAATGTGGTATGTTATACTATTGTTTAGCATTTTTGTTTACAGGTGTTTAAATTGGTGAATTGTGTTTCATAAAAGAACATTTATTCAGTTCTTAACATTTTTGACCACTGCATTAATAAATTCTGTGAAGTTTTAAACCGAATCACCTACTGTTATGGATTATAAAGAGATTTCACTGACATCACTCTATGGCCAATAAGAACTACCACAGCAGTTTTGTACCATAAATATACTTCTGTATTATATTATCAAAAGTAGAAGTCCTTCATCAGAGTGGTAAAAAAAACTAAGAAATGTATAAAAATTTGTCACAATATTTTAAGACTCACAAAAACCAGTTTTATATAAACACCAGCCTCCCATTCACTATGACCATTGAGTATGTGCAGTGTGTAAACTGTATTTAACACATGCCCGCAACCAGAATACTACAAAGAATAAGTAAATAAAGGTGGCATGTCTGGCCTTGACTGAACTACTGGAAATCCACTGCATAAAGAGACACAAAGAGGAGGAGAGATTCAACAAGAAGTAGTAGCTCTGGGGTCAAGGGTAGGAGCAGATTTCCTTTTCACTGAATCAAATGGAGAAAGGTGTTTATTTTAAAAAAAAGAGTGTGTATAGTTCACATGACACAGTCTATTTAGAATAACCATTGATTAAAACTGAGCTGGAGGACAGGTAACTAATCTATGGTAGAATTTGCCTATAAATACTGGGGCTATCCACATGAAACAAAAACTGGCACAAAGTTTCTCATAAGCTTCAGAAAACAGTGCCATAATTTAACCCCCGAAGAAGTGATTTTATAATGTGAAGTTAGTAAATGAAATTAAATGTGTGGTAGTATGAACGTTGTGGTGTTTGTGTTGTTTTGTTTGCGTTTGCGCCTGAGTGAGTTGGGTGCACTGAGGGGAATGTTGAGCAGGATTTGGCCACTGTCACATCACACTGCCCTTCTCTCCTGTGTTCAGCTACAAGACTCTAGTTTGGCAACCAGTGATGCAAGTCCAGCAACTGAGCCACTTTAACTGCAAGGATACACAAAGCAGATAGACATTATGTTTAGAAGACAGCCAAAAGATGAAATGTATGCAGAATCTGATCAATTTTGCAATATTTATATAATCTCAGTCTGTAGACAATCTGCTGTCAATTTATTTTTCAACTAGTCATTTACTTATCAGTGTTAGCTTTTAAATAATTTTACAGATTCTTGAGATATATAAGAAGTACAAAATAATACCTACTTAATTTTAGAAGCAAAATGAAGTCATTTTCAGTTCAATCAATCCAAAAATGTAAACATAAATACACACTTTTAATCTAGCTGTCCTTATCCAGTTGTTTATGTTATTAAACATAACTTAAATTAATCCTTCTGAAAGTTTGATTCCAGACAGCTGGTCACATACTAGAGCAGCGGAGATCTTTTAAACAATATAATGAAAATAATATTAAAGATGTCACTGATATTTGGTTGTGGTGTCAATAATCAAGAATAATCTTCTATAATAATCTCTAAAATTGTGATGTTTCTTATAAAACCTAATAATCTTAATAATTATAAAGCTTAAGTGTTATATTGTGACATCCCTGGGCCCAATCTAATAATGAATTACAAGCATGTCTTTCCTGTAATGACAATGTGTGTAATGGGGCACATACATTGGCACTGTGATCAGTCCAGCTCTAAAATTAGCCGTGACAAGGTCAAGAATGCTGTTTTTCCTAAAGCCAAGAGGAAGACATCAGCTCGCACTGCCTCGTCACTCCCTGTCAGTGTCAAAAGTTGTTCTGTATTTTTGACACAGCTGTCTACGCCTGCTGAATAGGAATGACAGGAGGGGAAACAAATCTACGCTACGCAGTCACAGAGATATGCCAAGCTATAATATTTTATCATTTGTTTTTTGCAAAAATGTACTCTGTAAGACAGCCAGAGAATGAATAAAACATTTCTTTCTTTTCCTGGAGGTTCCTTTTTTGTTTGTTTGTTTGTTTTAACTGAAACATATAGAAAGAAAAAAATCTGCAAACTAATATATCTTAGAAACCGGGCTATATGGCTACATGAGGTTGACTGTCTTAGTGTCAACTCTATAATCTTCACTATCTATACACAGTTAATTACAGAAGAAAGTTGACACGTTTATGTAAATAGTAAACTCTATGGGTAACTGACACCAGCTTTACATTATTCTTCGCTGTGTGGAATAAAAAGCATTTTATATTTCAGACAATTACATTTAAAGGTGCACCATGTAACTTTTCTAGAAGGTCTACCATCTCCCCTAATGTCCCCTAATATGGCATAAAACAAATCTATCTTGTATTTATTCAATTCAAAGTCTTTATTTCTAATCTCACATCCTCCTTAACGTCTGAGCAGGATTGTTCCTGGCACACATTCATATATATACAGTTAGTCCAATACAAAAAAAGAAGACAGAATGAATTATCTAAATATAATATAGTGGGTCACATGTTAGGAGCCAGCCCTCCTCCCAACATGCTCCCCTTTACACACATGTACTGCAGCTACTGTGACAGTGTGCAGACCCCAGCTCCCTGACTCATTGAGAGAGAGACAGATTTCCTGGTTGATGTCCAGTTATTTTTTCGTGATGACAGCAAAGATCTGCCCGTCATGTCTGCTTTTGTGGGCGTTTCATGTTTCACACTGCATATGTATCCACATCTGACAGCTATACGCAGGTCAACCTTAAAGAACGCTCTGTGCCAGATGGTTTGGCTTTCTGTGCGCAGTTAAACAGCCACAAAAAGAAGCATGCATCCAAAGGATATTGTTATATTTTGTATGAATGCATTAGCACTTGCAGCATTTAATAGAAGGCGGGAAAAACCTGTCAAGTGTGTGAAATCAACTGATACAACAACTGTGTCTGCAACACAAGTGCAAGCAGAGATACTGTGTCTGCAGCAAATCAGAGAGGCTGAAAAAGATTTAGGGATGCACCAATTAGCGCCAATACTGAAAAATTTACTGGATCAGTTATTGGCTTCCAAATATCACTTCAGTCAATATGCAAGTATAGTATATAAATCAATGTAATAAATCTATTTTCTGGTCATAAATAAGAGCTTCATAACACATTTGGATCAGTTTTGTTTAATTTTATTTTTGCTTTAATTAAAGAAATGCTGTTTTCAGTCTCTACACTGGTATTAGTTAATCAGGAATCAGCATATTATATATATATATATTTAGAGCGATCGTACCAAATTAGTTTTATTGTAAAGTATCGCTACATGATTGTCGTTACATGATCATTAGTCACTATATTTTTCTTTCAAAAGTTTTATGTTGCAGAAAAATATATTAATCAAAATAACTCGAAATACATACACAATACAGTTAAATTTTAAGTTTAATTTCATGTTGTGCTTGTCTTATTACCATTATACTGCATACTTATTATACTGTACTGTTTCAAACTGTACTGGAGTATAAACCACCAAGAGGTCACACATGGTACAACATGTTTTTCTGACACTGTCAATAAAGCCTCTTGGTCTATGACTGGTTCAATTTCTGATCGAGTGGCAAGCAAAACAAGAGCTTTTCCTTCCGCCGCGGAGTTGGACCAAAGCTTTGACCTGACTGTCACCTCTATTATCTGGCTCGTCTGTGTCTCCTCTCATCTCTCAGCGCTGCCTCACTGTCACAAATGCCTACTGAATACAGCCAGCATCGCGTCACTACGCATTTTTATTCCTCTTTATGTTTTGGTGAAAACGTGGGGAAAGCAGAACCACGCGGGGCTGTATTTGCAGACTGTTTTTCAAAGTAACACTAAAAATCTACCTCACAATAGCTTCTGTGTTAGCCAATAATTGTTTGTGTTTCTCTTCTAAGAACTGTGTAAAATATGAGAAGAGGTTTAAGATGATTTCATCTCTTGTTCTCCATGGACATATTTAAGTTTAATTAAGTTTAATCTAACCCATACTTTGGAACATTCCAGGCAAAGCAATAACATCTCCATTGTGACAAACAGGCTGTGGACCCTACACCAGAAACGTTACATGCACTTAAATCACAAAGAACATGATTAGATATTAGCTTTTACAATTAATTTGGGCTCTATTTGTAGACTGTTTTTCAAAACAGCACTAAAAATCTGCCTAACAATAGCTTCTTTGTTAGTCAATGATTGTTTGTGTTTCTATTCTAAGAGCTGTGTAAATTATGAAACTTCAGGCCAGAGGTTTAAGATGATTTCACCTGCTGGTCTCCGTGGACATATATAAGTTTAACGCCATACTTTGGAACATTCCAGACAAAGCAATAGCATCTCCATTGTGACAAACGGATGTACCCTACACCAGAAAAGCACATGCACTTAGATATGGATATGGATTGTATTTGTAGACTATTTAGCACAAAAAAAATCTGCCTCACTATAGGCTCTATTCACATTTACATCACAAACCAGGAAGACATTTGGAAAGATGTGATTACAACTTCCCAGGCTCAGTTTTCTTCATCTAAATGTCATTGTAGCGTTCCGTCATGTTCGGCTAATCAACAATTACAACCATACCTCAGTTTTTATCATTACCCCACTGACGCACAACTCCGAGCGCACTGACTACATGCAATTAGAAGAGATGAGGCGCCAAATTCAAGATGATTCCAAACAGCACATGTGTATGCAGTCTTCATTTTACAGCTGATCACATTTACTCCAATGGGTTTTAATAGATCCATGTCAGGTGAGCCATTGTCGATAACTGCACCAGAAGTTGTAATCGCATCTTTCCTAACGTCTTCCTGGTTTGTGGCATAAGTGTGAATAGAGCCTATAGCCTCTGTGTTATTCAATAATTGTGT